AGGATGTCTGACTAAAGTGGCTGGCAGTTGAAGCTGCCTGTCTGCCGGCAGCTCACCTGAGACAGTTGATTAAAATGCCTACATATGGTTTCTCCAAGTGTTTCAGGCTATTCATAGCATGGCAGCTGCATTATGAGGGGAGGGGGTGAGTGCTCTTTGCAAGAGTGAGTGAGTGTTCTTGGCAAAAGAAAGCAGAAGTGGCCAGACCAATCAAGGGCTTGTCCTGGAAGGGCCACAGCCCTTTTTCTGTAGTATTTTGTTGGTTAAAGCAGTTGCGGTCACAGCACCAAGTCAGTGTGAGGGAAGACTAACTGAGAGTATGAATCCCAGGAGCTGTGGCACACTGCTTTAACCATCTACCACAGAGAAGACCTCACTGAGGAATTCAGGCAGGTGAAGGAAGGCAGAGTTGAGATCTGAAAGAAAAGTGTAAGTGACCCAGGCAAGGAGTTAAAAGAAGGGCATCTACAAAGAGGGAGAAGTTCCTCCCAAGACCTAAAAGAAGACTATTGTGGCTGCAGCATGGGAACCAAGGGGAAAAGGGCATAAAATGAGGCTGGACTTTCAAGACAAATAAAGGAGTTAGAATCTGAAACTTAATGGTGGCTACTTAATGGCTTTTAGCAGGAGGAGTGCACAATCCAATCTGAGTTTTTAAAAGATTCCCCAGCCGTTATGAGCAGACTAGACTGGAAGGAGCAGAAGAAAATATGTGGGAGGCCAGGTCAGGCCACTGCAGGAGCCCAGAGAGAAAGGGTGGTAACTTGTATGGGCTGGAGGTGCCTGAGGAGATAGAAAGAAGTAAATGGACTTGGGAGGTGTTCTGGAAATTGTCTTGACAGGACTCAGTGATGAATTGGACATGAGGGAAAGAGATGTCCAAGTATGACTCCAAGTTTTCTAGCTTGAGCACTCTGGAGCAGGTGAAGTAAGGGGGAAAGATATAGTAAAGATAACTAGGAGTTCAATTTTGGGCATGCTTTAATTTCAGATACTTATGGATATATCCAAGTAGAGGTGTCAGGTAGTGACTGGATAGAAGAGTCTGGAGGTCAAAAGCAGCTGGGTTGCTGTTAATGTGTCTGCAGTACAATCATTGCTGACCCTCCAGAACCCCACCCACTGCACTCCCTGCTACATCCACAGTGAATGAATGACAGTTCCCAAAAAGTCACATTTATCTACATCCAGGTCTTTGCACAAGATTCCCTCCCTCTGTCTCCCCATCAGCATCCATCCAATCATCTGGCTACATGCTGCCAGATTTGTAGGTTTGAACTTCCTTGTAACCTACACTCCCCAAATCAGCTTAGGTACTCCTGTCCTGATTTTGTACAGCATCTTGTCATGGCCCTTGTGACATTGTATTCAAGTTGCATCTTCAACTCTCCCATAGAATATGAATTCTTTGAAGCAAGCAATGTGCCTTATTTAGGTTGTGTTCCTAGCAACAGCAGGCACTCAACAAATATTTATTGAATGAATCAACAGATCTCTGACTGAAGCCCATTCTTGCTCCAATTCGTATGGAATATCATGTCTTAAATCAACTTCTCTGAACATCCCTCCTATCAGAAAACTCCCTTTCTCAAGAAGTTCCTGGTGTTTACTGCTGCCAACTGAGATTTGGTATCTTCTATTATCCCTTCTCTTGCTAAATATATAGAAAGTGAAAACATGTAAGGCCTAGATGTTTTGAAGTCAGGATTTTGTGGAGGAACTATAACAGCGTTGGGGGCTACAAGGAAGACTTTTAGGAGCCTCTGATGTGCGCACACAGGCTTAAAGGCAGCGGCAGGATCTTCAGTGCCTTCTACTCACCTGCCTCAGACACTGTGCCCTGGGGCCTTTAGTTTACATGGAAATAGACTGCAGGATGGGAACAAAGCTATCTCATGTGGGGAATGCAGGCTTTGTACCCACAGATAGGTTGCTACAGCCTACTGTACAATAACATAACATTTATTTTCTTTCATACCTAGTAATAATAAAAATTAGTGAGAAAGGAAAAATACAATTAGGATTAGTGATAGGAACTGTCAGTTTAGTTGAGCTCTTTATAATTGAGAAAATGATGTCCAAATGGAATCTTTAACCTCAAAGGCCCATCAGTGGACTTTAGGGAGTTAATTGTGGATTCAGTTGTGAAGGATAAGACAAAAATAATTATCAATCCTATACAAGATGTTGAAAATATACTGTTGAAGACTCAGTCTAGAAGGTGAGGTAAAAATAGGGATTTAGAGGATTTTAGTTCTTTAGAAAAAAATCCCTTATGATACACAAGTCTGTTTCACACTGTCAGGCAGTTTCAGGAACACATTATAGATGCCCACTTGGGGTTGACTGAAGAAAGAAGGCCCAGTAGAGCAGTAAGGGACTCGGGGCAACACAGCCGTTATTTGAAAGGCTTAAAACTGACTGTGCCAGGGTTTCCCTTCTAGGAGATCCAGAGAGATAAGTGGGGCTGCTTAGGAATTGATTTTATTGGTTAAGAAAGTGGTATAGAGGAAAATGTACTCAATGAGGAAGTCAAGTTCTGTAGCTTTCAGTGTTACCACGTTTAGTAATGCCACTCTAAGCGTGAATTGCAAGCAGCTGAATGCTTGTGGAACCCAGGTGTCTGACTCAGGAGGTCTGAGGTGAGGTCTGAGTTGGGGCCTGAAAGTGCAAGTGGCTACTGAGTTCCCAGGGGATGCCCATGTGGCCCAGGACCCACACTTTGAGAACTGTGCTTCTTAATCTTAGCCACATGTTAGAATAACTTGTGGAACTTTTTATGGCACTGTTAACATTTTTCACAGCTTTATTGAGATATACTGACACATAACATTGTGTAAGTTTAAGGGCACAGCATGTTGGTTGGGTGCCAGTATGAACTGGAAAATGGTGGCCCCATAGCACCAGCTGCCTCCCACCCCATCACATCGTAGCCATTTCTTTTTTTCTGGTAAGAATATTGAAGAGTCTTCTCTTAGAAACATTCAAATACATGATACAGAATTGTTAGCTATAATCACTATGCTACTCATTAGATCCCCAAACTTACTCATCTTGTGACTAAAGATTTGTACCCTTTAACCAGTATCACCCCATTTCCCCCCAAAACTCCCCAGCTCCTGGCAACTACCACTCTACTTTGTTTTTTAGAGCTTTTATAAAGTCCACATGTAAGTGAGATCATCCAATATTTGTCTTCCTCTGTCTGACTTTCATTTAGGGTGATGCCCTCCAGGCCCATGCTTGGGGAACTATTTAAATCTACCAATGTTGGGGCCTCGCCCCCTAGAGAGTCTAATGTAATTGGTCTGAGGTGTGTTAGGGCTTCAGCATTTTTTAAGCCTCTCTGAACCATTTGAATATTTGCCCAAGCTTGAGAACTATTCTTCTAAACAATGATATCAGGTTGAGAAGTCAGTTTTAGGTTTGTTTTTGTTACCATTCTGTAGAAGCAGCATCAGATTGATGCGGAACACTGTTGAGTCAGCGCCAAAGGCCCACCCATACTCACCTAGCGGCATATTCCTAGGTCAGGAGGAAGTCTCTTTATAATGCTGGCTCTTGAAAACCGGGGGTTAATGAAGACCTGTTTCCCATCTGACCTTCCCTCTGTAGACTTTCTTTCATGGCCTTCCCAAAATGCCAGGCTGATTTCCAACTTGGTGTCTGCCCAAGGCATTTTCTTAGTGGGATCACAGTTTTCCAAAATATGAGAAAACCCAGTGCTACCAGAGACAATGCTCACATTTTAGACATTGTTGGACATACCACATAGCATCAGGCAAGTCATTCCTTTTTCAGTTATCTTTCATCCTTCTTAGCAAGATAGAAATCTCTGATGATGCTGGACCTTTAACATCAGTGACCTTTGCCAGGCACAATGGGTGAGCCTGAGGCTAATGTGGCTTAAGATATATGTACCTAGAAATTTATTGCATTACTTTGATTTCATTGCATTTTTTAATGATTGCCTCCTCTTTATGACGAGGCTTTTCTCCTGAAATTATAATGTTTCTTTTTTAAATGAAGTTTAAGTTATGCAAAATGAATTAAGTCCTAGAGAACTACTGTACATCATGGTGCCTATAGTTAATAATACATTGTACACTTAAAATTTTGCTAAGATGGCAAAACTTAAGTGTTCTCATCACAAAAACAAGAAGGCAGGAAGAAACTTCTGAAGGTGATGGATATGATTTGGTTTTGATTACAGGGTTAGTTTCATGAGTGTATACCTATCTCCAAATTTATCAAGTTATATACATTAAATACGTGCATTTTTGTTTGCCCAAACACCTCAATAAAGTGTTTATTTTTTTAAGTCAGAACTCTTTGTTTTGGTTTGAACATTAATTTATTAATTTGGTGCCAACTACTTTCAAAATTCAACCAGATGTGTACCAAAATAAAATAAATCTCGATTGAATTTTTTCCAAGTTAAGTGTTTAAAATAGCAAATAATAATCATGCAAGGGTGTGCTAACTCAAAAGAAAACAGAGGGTCATTCAAGATGGGCTGGAAATCCAGCAATGCCCTGTTATAAGGACCTCTAAATAACTAACATGATACTCCTGTGCAAATGTGTGACAGGAAAGCTACCACTGCCCAAATCGCCCAGCCATCAGTGTTCTGCTTACAGCACACCTGTCATGACACAGGCCCCGCCCTGGTCAGAGCCTGAGCAGCTAACAGGGGCACACTGCTCTCGGAATCACAGAATGCTCAGCACTTCCTCTCTGGGAGCCTCCAAGGGGCAGAGCCTCTGACCACCATTTCCTTCAGTCATTTATAAAAACTTACCCCAAATATTTGTGATTAGCTGGATTTTGGATTGAACCCTTTACAATGCGAAGGAATGATCTGCACACATAATGCCTTCATGTGTTGTGTGTCATGTGTATGGTGTGCGTATGCACATGATTATTTATTGAATAAAATATCACTTCCTTGTTGGTCTGTGACACAAAACAGAGAAGTGGCCACAAGCTGGTAAAATATATTTTATTTGTTCATACAAAGAAATAGTATCAATTACCAGAATTTCATTTTTCTAGAAACATCTTTCTCTGTGTAAAATTAGTGTTATACATAGGACAAAATACTTGATTTAATTTTTGTACATATTGGCTATTCTAATATCCAGGTTATAGAAGACACACTGCTTGAATTTGCACAGTATTTCAGATTACAAGGCTGAATGAAACTCAGTCATAAATTAATGTTACAAAAGTGAGAAAAATCTAACCACACTTTTAAATTTTATTGACCATCCATGTTGATAAACTGAAAAGAAAAATGACACTGACCTCTGTCAGCATTTTAGAAACATATTAAATAAAACTTCCCATTTTCCTTTCCTATGAAAATACCCTGGCAGTATCTGAAATGGTTTCTCAAAAGGTCTAAAATGTATCTGTCATTCAAAATGACTTTTAAAAAGAATCTCATGAGAAGACAATTTCTCCTCCTCCTTCATCCAATTAAATCACTACACCTACATACCTTTTCAGGTACCAACTTCCAAGTGAACAGAGTACTGTACAAACACCTCAAAGAAAGCATGGAGTAGAGAGAAACAATAAAATACTCCAAATTTTTTGTTAATATTTTTAACAGGAAAGGAAACAAAATGGAAATAAAGTATCCCAATGACTACTGGAGTTTTTCCTGTGAACTGGAAGGAAGACACATGCTAGAAAAAATTGCCAAAATGTGAAATGGTGTCTACCTCCCAGCAGCTGGAAGCAAAGCTGGTGGCTTGCAGATTGTTAGAACAGGACAAAACCCAAGGCTGAATGTGATGCGTTGCCTAACTTCTCCAGGAGGAAGACATACAGACTCAGGCCCTGTGATAATTGCCACGTGATGGTATAACCTTAGGGCAGATGCTGTGTCCAGATCGGTCGGGAGCTGTAAGCTAGTAAGCCCCTGTGAAGAGATGCACAGGAAGCTTGACGTATTTGTTTTACATAGAAAACTTGCTCTAGGCCTTCAGTGCTTATTATCAACATCTGTTTGGATTCAAGGATTTGACCCAAAATAGAATCTTGACCCACTTCAGTGTTTATGACTAAATGATCTTCCTATCTGAACATTTCCTGTTTCAGTTTTAAGGCAGAGGACAACTTAATCAAAAATTGTCCAGCTTGGAAAGAGGGCGGGGACTCGAAGGAGAAGGAATGGCTCATGCTTGCTTTCCAACTGCTTTGTTGCAAACCCTCCTCTGAACTTTCCTGCAATCCTACACCATGATCTGGTCAGATCATGAGGGTGGCCAGAAAGCAGACAGGACAGAATTAGGCAGAAGGTGTGAATACTGACTTATGCTTTATGCTGTCACTGAAAAGGTGTTGTCAGTTTTCTTTCAAATGAGCCTGCTAATTGAAAAAGTGCATGACCAGTTAGCACCCTACGTGGATATCTCTGATACCCAAGCAGCAAGAAAGGAGAACCGTACTACATTATGGCAGGACCCCAAGTGCAGGTTCTACACTCCTTGGTAGGGGCAGTAACAAGCTAGGAAATTAAGAGAACATCTCTGGAATGCACCGAGCCCATGTGCCCATCCTCCTACACAGAACATACAGGTTGAGAGTTTAGCTGTTGAGTATGACCTAGAGAGAGCTGGGCCATACAAATCAGATCTGGGCAAATACAAAGCAGATCATCAACAAGACATCACTCAAAGACCAGAGACATCTCTGATCAGTTTCTAAAGATGAATTATTTTTTCTCTTCATATAAGTTTTCTTAGGCTATTGGGCAAGTTATTCCTTACAACATAAAACAGTATCCTTTGTAAAAATCACAACCTAACCATTATGACAATGTGTATATCTTCCCACACATGCCTCAAAGATGTATAACTTGAATAATGATTCCTTTATGGTAGAAGCATCCTGGTTTAGAACATTGAGGATAAAGTGAGGATGTCATTATGTGATATTGCTATGTGGTTACTCAGTTGCCATTGGCTAGTCATCATGAAAGATCCCAAACTGCTCTCTCAACAGAAAGGCATGGGGAGAGCAATCTGCATCAGCAGCAACAATTCTGGCAACCCTTCTGCCAAGACCTGGCTAAGACAAGCAACACCTGCGCAGGTGTCTGGCTCAAGTGCTCACAAGCAACATGGGGCCAGCTTTCCCAGCCTGGCCTTACAAGGGCTGCTTGCTAAACAGACCATATTGTCCATCTGAGGTGAGCCAGGAGTTCCAAGGAGAGGAATTCCAGACATCAAGCAGGAGGCCAAGGATTCCCTTCCTCTGCCAGGCCACCTGTCCTTCTGAGTGTCCTGCTTTTTTTCCATTGAGGCTGTCAGCCTACTGGGATGTGCCCTACATAGCTGGCTGTGCCTAACACCATCTTAGCAGATGCTGATGGCATGGGATGTACCTGAGCCCTTTGGGTCTCGACACCCGGGCACTCTTGGTTTGTGCCTATGGCTCTGCTGGCCTAGGGAATTCTTTGGTGTGTCAGATCAGAAATGGAGGATGGGGTATGGTACACTCTCATGCAAATTAGAAGAGACCGTCTTTATTTCTAAAGCAGCACCCAAGCATCTCACACACGTGACTGGGAAAAAGGAGGTTAACATTTGTATACACATCAAACTGGTTAATGAACCAGGGACTAGGGCAAAAGAGGATACAGGGCCATCCTTCAAACTCAAGATCTGAAGTAAACAGACCCTGGCACGGAGACTTGGAGAGGATGTGAGAGGCCCTGCTGAGGTGGTGCTTCCCCCAGGTGCTGAGCAGATGGGGAACACCTATCAGGTGGTCTGGGATCCACATCCTCAGAGATGGCATCACATGGATGAGGAAGCTGCTACCTGAGGTCTCACTGTCTGAGGGCAGCACCGCTGGGGCAGCCAGTGCTCTGACGAGGTACGCACATGGGACAAGAAATGGAAGTTGGAATGGGAGACCCAACATGCAAAGCGCTGGCAAGTGAATTCAGATAGCGGTCGAAGGCTGCATACCCGTAACAACAAAAATCTCAAGTTGTGCTTTTCTTCTTCTTAAATATAATGGGTAGGGAGGGAAAGGGAAGCACCATCAGTTGTGAGGAAAAGAACAAACTATTAGAGTTAAACACTTTGGAATGTTAACAGATTACAAAGCTAACTCTCTAAATTGTGTGGCTAGGCAGCTTAGTGAATTAATTGCTTATGAATTAAAAATAAATTATTATAAAATATATTTCTGTACATTTTACATACATATAATTTATCTCAATATATAAGCCACATTGTAGGCAGCACAGTGACAGTGCCTTCAATCCCAGCCAAAGTCATGCCCAGTCATCTGGTAGAACTTGAGGTTGAAAGGCCGGTAGAAGTCGCGCAGTCTCTGCACCACCTCTCGGTCGATCTCGGGGTGGGTCCTGCCCTTGGTCTTGCCCAGGCAGTGGGGTTTGCTGCTGCCCTCGGCCTTCTTCAGGCAGGGGAAGCCCTTGGTCTTGTTGAAGTAGAAGTGCTTGTCGGTGATGATCCTCTTGAGGCCCAGGAAGTCCTGCACGCGGCCCAGCTCTCCGGCCGGGTCACTGATGAGCCGTTCCCCACTCACGAAGAGCATCTGGCCGATGGGGAAATGGCGCAGCCAGTGCTCCAGGTGCTTCGCATAGATGCCGATTTGGATGGCGCTCCAGGACGTGTCGATGAGGCCCGCAGTTCTGTTTTTGAACGTCAAGCTCTCGAAGGTGGGGATGTCAGGACGCTTGGAGAGCGTCTGCGTGTAGTCCGAGATGGCTCTGGTCACCGGGTCCCGCACCACCACGATGAGCTTGGTGTCCTTGGACATGGCTGAGATGCGCGCGGGGGCTTCCCGAGTGACAAAGTAACTGGGCGTCTTCTCCATGGTGATCTGCCCGTCCAGGGTTCGGGGCATCAGGTCCCTGAGGAAAGAAAACAGACCAAAGGCAGGTCAGAAGGTGACGTCTCTTTGGCCACATGTCAGCACTTCTAACCCTGGCTCCCATCTCATTGGGAACAGTTATTGAAATAGGAAAGAATTTTTGAGCTGAGATGTACATTAGTTACATTAATGTGCCATCTGAAGTTTGGAGGCTGGGCATCATGTACCTGAAATGTAAAGGCACCTTTTTTCTACAAGGTAAAAAGTAGGATATGGGTTTCTCTAAAATCCTTTCTCCTGGCCTCTCCCTGACTTTTCAGGGTATCCTGCCTTTACAAAGTTCCAAATATCTGATGTCAGAATCAAATGTCTCTGGGTGTGTGCCTTTCCCAAGTAACATCACCTGAGGCCCTGAAGACTTCTCTTGTTCACCGCCCTCACTAGCCTGCCTTCAGGTGTTCACCAAGCCTGGGCAACTGTGGTGTGGACATGTGTCCCCCTGGGCCAGCCAGGCTGTTCTGGCTTCATTACAGTGACCACTGACAAAACACCTTTCCTCTGAAATGTGTACCCGAAGGCAACAAAGCATGCAGCGGCCAAAATACTGGCTGGAGTCAGAGGAAGCCTAAACTGATACAAATGGCCCAAGAAGAAATTCCTTAAACACAACTCCAGAAGCTTCCAAAAATACTGTAGATACCATTTTAAAAAAGCAAATAAACAAACAAACAAACAAAACAAATAAAAGGGCTTGTGTGATGTCTATTGCAATGTTAATTTAAGCAAAAGTATATAGACAACCTACATACTGTAACGAAATCGCTACAACCTACAACACATACAGGCCATTATAACTGGACCAAAATGCAGTCTTGTGGTGGCAATTAGCACAAAAATATTAAGAATCAATGGTGTGACATTGTGCCTTATTTGCTTTCTGAGCCCCAACATCCTAATATGTGAAATGGGAATAATTCCACCTACTTCATCCAGTTACTATGAGGTTTATAAAATCAAAGCAGTTTGGCCTAATAGTTAAGGAATATGGACTTGGCAGTCAGGCTGCTTGAGTTCAAATCCCAGCTCTGCCACTTGCTTACAAGCTGTGTTACCTTGAACAACTTACTCAACCTTTCTTGGCTTCTTTCTGTCATCTGTAAAGATGAAGATGCTCATACCTACCTCATGTGAATTTAATGAGAATTTTAAAAATGAGTTATCATAACATGCTTTGAATATGACTGACATAGTCATTATTATAATGTTCAATACAGTTTATAGCACGTGGGAGGAGCAAGTTCAGCGTGTGTGTGAACAGCCTCATGTATACACCTAGAGGAAATGTGTTAACTATTAGACACTCAATTTTAGTCACAAAGGTACAATTTTCCATGAGCTATGGGATAGAGATTTCCGAATGATTCCTATCTGGGGCCAGAAATTTAAATAGAAAGAAAAAGAGAGAGAGAGGGAGAGAAAGAAAAAAAGAAAGCGAGGAAGGAAGGAAGGAAGGCAGGCAATTTTCACATCATTGTTAGCAAATATTTACCTTTCTGAAGGACATTTCTAAACTTCCAGCTTCTAGCCACTCCTAATCTACCAAGACTCAACTCTTGCATTAAGCACATTTAGGGAAATGATGCTATAAATGCACTTGACACCCACCAGCTAGGGACACTCCCTGGACAGCACTGCCCCCACATCCCTGGCTTTAGCTTAAGCTGATTGACCCACTTTGCCCATTAACCACTTAGATTAGCACAGCAGTGTCATCAGGCGAATGTGGTGGATTAAAGAGAGTCCTGACTCGCAACTTATTTTGCATTTCACTCAAAAGCAGGTCGATTCAGATAAAGTCCAAGTTTTTTCCTCATATTAAGCCATCAGCAACTAGACAGTCTACATGAGTTTAATATTCAGAATCGAAATGCTACCACCACAAGTGAAGGAAACCCAACTCCCAAAGCAGTTCAAAACCATTGCTGAGGGGTGGGTTTGTGTCTGTCCTCAGAGAGTCCATCTGACCCAGCATCCCCATTGATTAAGGTGTATGGGCCTGCATAGGTCACAGATCACTTAACCTGTTCAAGCCTCAGTTTTTTCCTTTGTACCAATGAGAAGAATGACAGTGACCACCATTTAGGGTCTCTGAGGGGACTATGAACCTAGCCTTGGTACCACACCTGGTAGCTAGTTAGCTGGTGCTAGAAAATGTTCTCAGTGATCTTCTGTTGACAGGATCTTGGCCAGAAGTAAGGGAGCAAGATTTGTGCAGGGGGGTCATGCGCCCCCATCACCACCCAAAACCTTCTGGACACCAGCTCCAGGGGACTTTCTCCCCAGGACAGTCTGGTGTGCACCACATACCAAGCACTCAGAGGCCTCAGGCCTTTCCTTCATTATTACACTGACAGGGAAGTTCTGCTGTGACACTGGGGCTTCTCAGCCCTTGTCCACTGCAGGCCCCACAGCCACTGTCCCCTCAGTGTTTCTGGGGGCAGTGAATGAGGGGCTGGTGGGTGAGAGGCACCACTAGGTTTTGCATCCTTTTGGCAATGCCTTCTGAGCCCTCTCTGCGGTCTTCCTGGGGCACTTCTGTGGCATTTGAAGTGAAACAGAATGTCACCCTAAAATATGTCTCCTTGGCATAAGGATTATTTTAGGCTGATTATGTTTAAGAAAGAGCAGACATAGGAAAAGTTCTGCAAACCCAAGTAAAAGTCATCATTTTGAAGAGACATTTATATTCCTAAGGGAAATCTCCATTTGTCAGGGCCTCCTCTCTGCCCAGGAAGGAGACATGGCTAAATCCTTAGCAATCTCACGGACAAGGCATGGACTGAAATCTGCATTAACAACCTCACTCTTTATTAGTGGTCACCTCCCCTAGCTGCCCTCCCCATACCCCAACATCTGTCATTTTTCTTTAGCTAGAGATGGTATTTAACATGGAGGTTTGGGCCATTTGGGGAAGTTACTCAGTTTCCCTGAGTCTCTACCTGTACACAGGAGGGAAACAAGTTATTAAACTTCTGTCTGTGTTTCTCTCCCATACATACAAGAGGTATACAAGTTATTAAACTTCTGTGTTTCTCTCCAATATACACAGGAGGTATATAAGTTATTAAACTTCTATTCATAGTTAAAAACTAATCTGTCTTTTATTACATGGGGATTTCAGTCAAGAACCCAGAAGGGTAGCGGGAAATTTATTTTTCCTCCCCTACACGGGTATGAGGCTCAGATAAGCCAGCATCTCCCCAGCACACCCTTGTGGGCAGCACTGGACAGATGGAGAAGTGTGTGGACAGCTCCTGAACTAGAACCTTTCAGACAGTCACAGGCAAGTCCCCTCTGTCCCTGTCAGCTGCTCTTCTCCCACCACCCCACCCCTACCCCTGGTCCTGGAGCAACTCCTATGGATTTGCTTCCAGAGTACACTTCCTTTTTCTCCTCCCTTTGCTGGCCACACTCTCCTGTCCTCATGCTCAAAATCTCTCTGAGACAACAGCGACTCAGAGAAGAAAGTGTGAAGACGTGGCTGCGGGCGAGACCACTCAAGCGGGCCTTTGCATGCCCATCCCAGCTGTGGATCCAGCCGCAGGGGAGCCTCCTGAGCAAGCCAGCAGGGAGGCTGCAGGTTAACTGAGCTGCTCATTATGAAAGCCAATTTCTCAAACTGAGAGTACTGGCTAATAATTAAATAGTACTGGAGCTCACAGAGGAACTTTCACTGCTTACTCATGAAGAAACTGAGGCTAAAGCAGAGAGTGACTCACTTAGAGGCAATCACTGGCCTGCATATCAAGAGCTGGGACCTAGACTCAGCCATGGGATGCATCCCATTCCATCTGCCAAACCCTCTCCCCTCTCCCTTCAACCTCCTGTTTCTTCTTAACATGATGAAGAATACGCAGCACGTGTCCTCTCTTTAAATAGATACCTTTATTTTTTGTTTATAGATATGGATCTTAATAATAGGTATTTCAGTGCTAGAATCAGAAGACTGCCATCATAGTTGTTCAAAAATGAGTCAGAGTTCAGAACATGAGGCCTCTTAGGTTCATATATTCCTGCATTCCGTGGGGCTCGGAATCTCAGTTGTCACTGCAGCAGTCAGTCCTTCCTCCAGTGCCCCCTGACCCAGCTTCTTCCCCTCATTACCAGGTGGCAGGAAGGGACACCTCTTTGGCTGGCACATATGACCAATGGGTGCTTGCAAAACTAAGGGGGCTGGACACTATCACTAGTGCAATCCTGAGACAAACTCATGCTTGCCCCCATGAGAAGCAACTCCTGGGGCAAGCCTAGGAGATACTAACCAGCGATACAGAGTGGAAAAGCTTCCACTTATTCAGTGAGACCTACAGGGCAAGACAGTTTTGTCTTCCCTCTTGGTCTGGGGATGATGAGCCCAGGGAACTTTCAGGAATACCGGATCTCAAAGAACAGGGCCACAGAGCAGGAACCTGAAAACCAAGAGGGTTAGGAAGGAGTGTTTTCAGCCTTCAGTGGGTTTGAGGATATTCACCAGAAAGGGATAGGCCACCTCTGTGGTAGCGGGTCTTTGCCCCTGGTTGCACACTAGAATCCCCAGGGTGCTTTCAACTAAATGCCTGGGCCTTTCCCCAAACCAACTGAGTCAGGCCCATGTGGGAGAGGCCCCAACACAGCTTCTGGTAGAGGATTCAATGTGCAGCCAGGATCAGAAATCATCACTCCATGGCTGGTATCTGTTATGCACTTCAATCACTTATTCCACGAATACCCAGAGCCACCTAAGAGGAGTCACCATCGTGGTGGAAAAAATGAGAAAACAATATTATAAATGAAACTAAAAGTTGTTCAGCTAATCCAGGACTCATATTTGAGTCCAAGGACTAGAGTTAAGTCTAGAGAGTAAAGGTCTTACTCTGTCAGTGGAAAGCAGCCCACATCCCAGAATGAGAGACAGGGACATGCCACTGTGATACAAACTGCAGAGAACAAATAATACAACCAAATAAACTGAATGCAGTAAGATTCAGTAATAGAGGAAAA